AAAAAAAAAAAAAAAAGAGGAGACCTGGAGGGAGCACCAGGAAAACCAGAGTTCTTGTGTCTCAGGGATCATGGAATGATGTGATCACCAGATCCTCCTGGTGCTCTATGGCCATGTTGCTAGATGCCTGCAGAAAACTCATGTGAGGGCAGAAAGGAAGACCTTTTCTTTCTTTCTTTCTTTCTTTCTTTCTTTCTTTCTTTCTTTCTTTCTCAATATTTATTTTTGAGAGAGAGAGAGAGAGAGAGAGCAAGCAGGGGAGGGGCAGAGAGAGAGGGAGACAGAGGATCTGAAGTAGGCTCCACGCTGTCAGTGCAAAGCCCGATGCGGGGCTCAAACGTACGAACCACGGGATCATGACCTGAGCCGAAGTCAGACATTCAACCCACTGAGCCACCCAGGAGCCCCAGGAAGGCCTTTTCTTGAGTTAGGGCATCCTTGTTGACCTAGGCCAGCAATTTGGACAGCAAGGGGTAAAGGGGTGAAGAGTTAAAATGTGGAGCCGACTGCTTTCATCAGCAATTTAATGGTCAGATGAAGGAGAGAGAAGCCTATGTTCTGGCAGCTCAGGCAGAGGGAGGGTTTTATTTGTTCCGGAGGAGGCTGAGGGTTGTTTCAATGCTCAGAGGAGTGGCTGGAAGAGGAGAGGACTGGGAGGGACAGGGGGGTGAGCTGAGGTGGGAGAGGGCAGGGTCCCCAGATGAGGGGTCAGCTGGGATGGCAGGTGGGTGGATGGGTCTCTGAGTGAAAAGCAGGGAGGTTCCTGGGAACCTCTTTCTCTGAGAAGGAGAAGCTGAAGTCATTCGCTGCTGAGTCATGAGAGGAGGAGGGAGGTTTGAGGAAGTATCTGGGGAGGATGGGGGAGTGAGCTGGGGAAAGACCGGCCATTCCAGGACTGGCTGGACCCAGAGGCCACCACACAGGGCCCCTGTCCGCACAGACTTGTGCTTTTCACCTGCAGCCCTGGCAATGTGAGTCTTAGCTAAGAAGGCGAAGGTCAGATCACCTGGAGCAGGCAGTGGTCAGCTGTGGCCAAGTTGTTGAGGGGCCAAGGGTCTGGGGGACAGGGAGGGAGCCTGATATAGCAAAGGAGTGAGGGCCCAGATGGGCCAAGGACTGAGCTAGGTAAGGGAAATAGAGGCCAGGAGGGAGTCAGGCGCGGGAGGCCTCAGGGACAGGGAAGAGCAGGGAGTGGGGAGGAGGGAAGTGGATGTGACACAGGAGTGTCGTCATTCTCAGAGGACCCCCAAGGCCTGAAGAAAATTCTGGGGAGTAGTCATGGCTAAGGTTAAAGGTTAAAGAGCTTCCCCGAGAGGCTCTGATGCAAGACGCTTGTCCTGTGGATGCTGGAATCCCAGGAGGCAGGGCCTGGGGAAAAGGCAAACTCCCATCAGGCCACAGGCCTCAGGAATGCCACCCGGGACCGGCTGTTTAGGCAAAGGGACGAGTCACAGAGCTGCAAGGCCTGAGCCCCAAGGAAGGGGACTTGCTCGAGGCATTTGGAAGGAGCAGAACTGGCAGGACACCTCATGGCTTGCACCATCATACCTCTCCGTTCTGCCTGGCACAGAGGCCTGCCACTCACACATCTTGTTCCCCTAACTGATCTCTGGGGCACACTTCCGCCTCCGAGATGGGTACGATTCAGGCCCTCTTGAGCTTCATAACAAAGGGAAGAGGAAGTCAAGGGCTTGAACAAATAGGAGCATGACCACGGTGCACCCTGCTTGGTCGTTTGTGGGGTTTGTTTTTGTTTTTTTGGGTTTTTTTTGGGGGGGGGTTGTTTTGTTTTTAGTAGTTTTTTTTATCCACTGGGTTATGCAGAGTAGAGAGCATTCCCAAGGGGCTGGATGTCCTGGGGATCCTCCCAAGGGAGGGGAAAGAGCAGGGAGAAGGTCCTGAGGCTGAGCTTCGCCCCCCCCCCCCCCGGAAAAAAACAGAGATTAGAGAACAGTAATGACAGAGAGATAGACACACTGTAGTAGAGACAACAGACCCAGAGAGAGAGAGAGAGAAGGAGAGAGACAAGGATTCAACAGAGGGACGGACAGGAAGACAGACCGCCTGAGACAGAGACGGGGAGAGAAGGTGCTGAGCAGGCTGGCCAGGTGCCCACGGCTCATCCGGGAAGCTGCTGGGCTGGACCCAATCAGTGCAAGATGGATGGCTGCTTTGGGAGGGCGAGAGGCCGCCAGGCAGGGCAGCTGGGCCGTCTCTCCCAACTGCACGACGCGCTGCAGAAAGCCCGGCCAGCTGACCCTGTTTCCCAATAGGCCGATGGTGGGGTGCGCCCTCGGAGCTTCCTCAAGGACAGCAGGAGGGTGAGGAAGGGCTCTGCTTTGGAGACACGGACCCCAGCTCTGCCTCTCACTAGCTGTGAGGTCTCGAGGCCATCGAGTTCCCTGGGCTGTCTTCATTCCCAGCTCTAAAATGAGAACCACCACCCCGGTCCTCAGTGATTCTGACATGTTTTCACCTGCTCCGCAGAAACAGGGACCTGGGTGAGCTGGGACGTCACAGTGTCCTTCAGGTCCAACAGGAAGATGAAGGGAACAGATGCCTTCTGTGCCTGGCACCCTTTGGGGCTAGTTCCAAAAATCTGGCCAAGCAGTTTGGGCTGAGGGTGGTGGTGAGTCAGGAGAATAGGTTGTGACCCCAGGTCCCAGAGTTGCACAACTGATAAAGATCCCACCAGTAAAGGGCTCCTATCCAGCTCCCCTTACTTCCAAACCCCGGCACTTATGCTCGGTGCCAACCCCCACAGCAACAGGGAAGTAGACAGGGGCAAGTTTCATCGTTCTGTCCTAACCATCCAAGGGCTCTACTCCAGACAGTAGCCCTCAGCAGCAGGACTGGGAGAGACTCTTGCTCCTGGTCACCAAGGCCACCTGCACCCTAGCCTCATCCAGTCTCTCTGCCATTCATTTACCCCTTCATTCACTCAAACATCGAACATCTACCAGGTGCACTGGTAGGTGTGATGAGCCCAGGATGCGGGAAGAGGACACAGAGGGGATCAATCAACCTCTCCCCGCCTATCCAAACCTCAGCTTAAATGTTCCCTCTTCCGGAAGGCTTCCCATAACATCTACTAGGATTGAGGCCTTTTTCCACCTCTGAGCCCATAACACTTCTCCAAAGACCCACATCCTGGGGTCTTATACAAGGTCTAGGAACGTATATGCATTATATCCCTATAGATGGTCTCCTTTCTGGAGGCAGAGCCCACTCCCCGTTCATCTTTGCCTCCTACAGAGCCCAGCACAGTAGCAAGGGGTCAGAGTTCGAAGGATACATATTTGCCAGTCTTTGAACCCCAACGATGCATAATAATTACTGTCTTTAAACCTCAGTCTTT